CACACACACACACACACACACACACACACACACACACACACACACACAAAACATGTATGAAGAGGACTGGGGGTGCTGAAAGCCCCTCAAAACAAACAAAAAGCATGTAAAGGGGGCTAGGAGGGCCGGAAACCACTCAAAACCACCAAAAACTATCGAAAGCCATGTCAAGGGGGCCTAGGAGGGGCGAAAACTGCTTAAACCCCCCAAAAATAATCAAAAACCGTATAATATGGGCCTAGATGGGACAAAAACCACTCAACAGCACCAAATTTCATCAAAAACCCTGTTAAAGAGGCCTAGGAAGGCCAAAAACCACTCAGTATCACCAAAAACCATGTACAAGTGGTCTAGAAGGGCAGAAAACCACTCAAAACCTCCAAAAACCATGTAAAGGGAGTCTAGAAGGGCCAAAAACTACCAATAACCATGTTACAGGGGCCTACGAGGCCCGAAAACCACTCAAAACCACCAAAATCCACGTAAAAGGGGCCTAAAAGGGCAGAATACCACTCAAAACCTCCAAAATCCACGTAAAAGGGGCCTAAAAGGGCCCCCCAAAAAGTCTTGGTGTTTGACACCAAGTCAGAACAACTTGTTATGTGTGTTCTGACACAGTTTGATGGTGATTGGGTCAAAAGAGTCAGAGATGGAGCTTTCTGAGCAAAAAAAGATCACTTCCTGTCAGCATATGACCACATAGTATCGCTGGGCATCCAACAAGGATGACTCAAAGTGAGTTTGGTGTAATTCAGCCTTTCAATGTGAAAGTTATAGCACTTCGAAAATGTTGGCAAGATGGTCATCGTCGAAGCCTGGCCACATGCTAAACATGCTCAAAAACTCACCATTTTGAAAAATTTTAATCCCCCATTTCTTAACAGTATACTGACCAAATTTGAAGCCGATAGGTCACAATTCCTAGGAGGAGTTTGCAAAAGTTCGACATGAGCGAAAATGAAAAAATACCAAAAATTGACCTTTGAACCAAAATGGCAGACTTTCTGTTGGTTTTAAGATATACCTCCAAGAGACTTCGACTGTATCTCAATTCATGGGCTGGGTCCTCATGAGTGCGCATTTGTCGGCCGCATACACCACTGCCCTGCACGAAGTACTGTCCCAATTCGAAGGCTCCTCCTCATGCGGCAGAGGAATGCGGCCAACAAACTCTCAGAATCCGAGGATGCATGCGAGTATCCTCACCGACCGAGGATATGCCAGGATTCAATGCACGAGCAGGAAAATAAACACGGAAACGAAGACAATGGAGTTTTTATTTTTTATAAGAGTCGGCGTAGTTTGGAAATTCACCACGGACCGAAGAATTTCTTTTTAAAAGTAAGTTTCACAACTTAACTGTGGAAATTTATGCTGTAAAAAGATGTTAAATAAAAAAATGCGACTACAAGTACTGGTACTGGAGCTAAACCTGAATTTTTTATTCAGCATTTAGAATTTGTTTTTGATTTATTTATGTGTAACGTTTTAACTGTGAAGTTATTCTTCCAGTAAAAAGACATGTAAATTAATGTCCCAATGCATTTAATTGATATGAAAATGATCACTATGGTAAYGAGGTAGCGCATGGTCACTCAAGCTTACGTAAAGCCGACGTCACGTGAAGGGTAGATCGTCTCATTTCACAGCAGCTTCATGCAGCCTACCCGGCCCGGGTAGGATATGGCCCACGTGGCCCAGCTGGGCGCTCATGAGGACCCAGCCCATGAATTGAGACACTGCCATCTTTTCTTGTTATTTATTTACCATTATTTAATCAAACAAATCCCATTGAGATCTCAGATCTCTTTTTCAAGGGAGGCCTGGGCCTGAAGGCAACCTACATGTTTTGTAGGGGAGGGGGATACCCAGAGAAAATGCATGCAAGCACAAGGAGAACATGCAAACTCCGCACAGAAAGACCCCATGTCCGAACTGGGGATCGAACCCAGGACCTTCTTGCGGTGAGGTGTTGGTGCTAACCACTGTGCCGTCGTGTTTTGGGGAGTTTTACTCGTGCCGAATTTCAGCTCTCTATGATGCACCAGTTCTTCTAAAATTAGCATAGAAACAAGCTAAAAGCAGCAGATACAAGTTGAAATTAACACCCAGATGGTGAAAGGGATAAAAAAATGTCAAATTAGTTAATTAAATAAATAAATAAATAAATAAAGGTGAGAAAAAGGTAATAATCTGTTGTAAAATAGCTAAAACAGCAGCTCTCTATGATGCATCAGTTCTTCATTCTCACTTTAGGTGGTGCTGTGGAGCCATTTGGCCACAGCCATTGAAAATTACAATGGAATACTAAAATTTGAGTAGGGAGATAATTTGGGGTAAAGTTTGGTGAGTTCATATATGTTAAGGCCTCCAACAAAAGGCTTAGAAGAATAATAACAAAGATGTGAATTACAATAGGCCTTCGCAGTGCTTTCGCTGCTCAGACCTAATAACAAAAAGAAGCTCAATTATAACTAAAGTAGCAGGGCAAAAAAGCTAAAATTAGCATAGAAACAAGCTTAAAAGCAGCAGATACAAGTTGAAATTAGTACCCAGATGGTGAAAGGGATACAAAAATGTCAAATTAGTAAAATAAATGAATAAATAAAGGTGCAAAAAGGTAATAATCTGTTGTAAAATAGCTAGAACAGCTAAAATGTGCAGTTAAAATTTCTTAAAATAGCATAAGGAGCACAAGTTTGTTGAACTAAAGAAACTGAAATAGTCACCAATGTGAATTTAACTTAAAAAAGCTAACTTTAGCTAATAACAGCTAAAATTTATCTAAAATTGCTGAAAATAGCTGAATATACAGCGG